GAAAGTGACCAACTTGAAATTAAAGTAGCAGAGATGAGCTCCCCATGGCGATCGAGATGACGTCGATTCTTGTAGAATCCTGAAGGTCACGGCATACTCTGGGTATTCCGTTTCAGAAGAGGAGGTCACTCAAAACTGAGAAAGAGGGGTAACTCCAGCCCGTTTCAGAGGGAGAGGTTACTTTACCTCTGAGTCAGTTACTGTGGTAACTGAGTCTGTCAACCTAACCTGGTCGGAGCAGGTTTTCTTCAATGAACCCCAAGTTTCTCTAGGTCTCCTCCCTCTTTCAGAGTCAGAAACGCCGTTTCATTTCCTTATTCTTTCATTCAGTCCGTATCACGCCGTGTTAGTGAAGGTTCACCGTTTGTCTGAATAAAAATCCAGGTTGTTTTAATATGATATGTTAGGATGGCAATAGCCTACTACAGCGTATAAAATGAACTATTTTATCGAACATGGCATGTCTTTAAGTCGGTATGAAGGGGCTGCATTACTCCGTAGGGAATTAGAGTTTATGCTACATTAACGTCGGGAGATGTTAATTTATAAACTAAACCGGATAAAGGTGAGAGGACATTTAGCCTATGTGTGTGAATACAACTTTATGTTGAAGATAAAGTTAATGCACATTCAAATAAATAAAATTCTTCAGATTGTTCACATGCACAGAAATATTTGCAGATACACACACATGCTGTTGAAACATTTATTTTTTAATTTTTCACCAAACAAGTCAGTGCTACATATACCAGTACGGTAAAACAGTTCAAGTTGGGCTGCACTCTCTGTCCAGCCTCACACATTGTCAGCCCATGGTTGATGACATGATCAACTAAGGTTGCTCTGATTTCATTTGAAAGTTGTTTTCTTCTTTGGCCATGAACTCCTCTACCAGCTCTACCCCGACCTCTCACCCTCCCCCTTCCTCTTCCTCTCTCTGCAACGTCTTCCATTGTTGTTGTAAAAAAAATGTGCTCACTTGTGGTCTTTTCATCGTGCTTACTTCCTGATTGAAGTGATAGCAATTAACCATTGAGGTGTTTAGCCAGGTGGCACATATATTGGCCAATTAGCTCATGTAGTGTCATTTTGAATGGCAGTGTTTTGAAATGGCAAACATGTGACTTTATGTCTGATTGTTGTGTCTTATGCAGAGAACCGTATTTAGTGCATTTAAAAAGTGTCATTTTGAATTGCAAAATATGTGTAAAGCAGAAAATGTGTTTAGACTTTTGGAGACTTGAGAAGAGGTTTTGCTCTCTGTGTGTCAGTTTAAATAATTGTGCTATGCATGTCATTTTAGTGTGTTAGCAATTGGAAAAAACTGTAATGTCATTGTGTTTTTTGATTTGTTGTTGTGTTTTCTTATATGATGTTGTGTTTTCTTATTTGTCGTTGTGTTTTCTTATTTGTTGTTGTGTTTTCTTATTTGTGGTTGTGTTTTTTGATTTGTTGTTGTGTTTTTTGATTTGTCGTTGTGTTTTCTTATTTGTTGTTGTGTTTTTTGATTTGTGGTTGTGTTTTCTTATTTGTCGTTGTGTTTTCTTATTTGTTGTTGTGTTTTTTGATTTGTTGTTGTGTTTTCTTATTTTTTGTTGTGTTTTGTGAATTGTCGTTGTGTTTTCTTATTTGTTGTTGTGTTTTGTGATTTGTCGTTGTGTTTTCTTGTGTGTGTGTGTGTGTGTGTGTGTGTGTGTGTGTGTGTGTGTGTGTGTGTGTGTGTGTGTGTAATGTAACTGTAGTCATTCTCCACTAGATGGCACTGCACATCCATTTTAAATGTTCCAAAGTTCCACATTAGATCTCTTTTTTTTTTTTCAAGCAGCCATGCTATTTTTTCTGTTCTTTTGTTATTGGCCAGAAGTATCTCAACTTACAGGATCCCAACTTAACTCCTTAGTATTCTTGTGCCTTTAACTCACATGTGCAAGTGCACTGATGACAAGTCATCTTCCAAACGGAGTGATGGAAGAAGGATCAATTGAGAATGCTTCAGTTATAGCACATAAACATTATTTCTCTTTTTGCCAGAATCAGAGAGAGAGTACATCTCACACTGTACATAAACATGTAATGGTGTAGTATTGATAACATAAGATTTCCCTTGAGCACATGTTGCACATGAACCACAGTGAAATGTACCCTTGCTGTACTAACAACAATAACAGAAAATGAAGACCTTTTACATTGACTTTGTCTCAGTCTGAGCCAGAGTGGTGATATATACTAACACATCCTATTTTCATGACAAAATAAACAGAGTCCTGTTTATTTGGTCCTTTTTTTTTTTTTTCAAAGTAACTGCTGTTGTTCTTGGTTTGCTGTGGTGGCAGACCTTGGTGTAAGCCGTGCACACTCAACTAGCCTGTCCTTTGAAGGACAATGCTATCATCCTCTGACATCGCTGCTAAACCTCTTACATAATTAGGATGTGAGTATCTAACTCTGAGAACTAAACAGAAGATCAGAGAATGGAGCAAAGACCATACATATTTAGTCATCAACAAGGCAAATACAGTAATTATAGTTTGACGTCAAACTAATTTGTGCAAATATTAGATGCTGTCATATGTGTATTGTTAATGGCTGATTTAATGATGTGTTTGCATTTCTTTCATTTCAGTTTGTTTGTCTTTTTGTTGTTTATGAAGAACCACATGCTTGTGTTGTTTTCATATGTAATAACTAAATTTCACTCAGCTAGTTAAGCCTCTTCTGTTAAACAGCTCATATCATTGACACTGTAACTATCAGGTTCTAACACCAGCATTGATTACATGTGGCCAAAAAGGGCTAACACTGTCTTCGTTTACACAATGGTTTGGCTTCTTGCCAAAGTCACATGTGTCAAGTGTGGGGTGTTGAAATTCACCTGAATAAGACACACCACTTTCTATCACCTAAGAAATGCAGTGGTGTGTCTTTGGGGTCACATATTAATTTTCACGACCTTATCAGTTGTTAAAGCCCCAACTTCTAATCAAAACCTATACAAATATTTTAGCTACAAATATACAAAAATATATTTTTTTAACTAATGGTGTTTTTTTATTTGTCAGAACAAGCTCCATGTGAAGGACATGATCAGCAAAGAGCTATAAAATACCTCTTTGTCCTTAAGGGTCCCAAAGATCGTCACAAATTAAAAGTTATATACAGAGGTTCAAAAAGGTGGAAGAACTAAAGTACTCTTTTAGAAAAAGTCAAAAGTCTTTATTCAGTTGGCTATTTCATTAGAAGTTAGATTAAATTCAGATCATTAGAAAAAACAAGCTGTACTGGAACAAATTGGCCTTCTTTAATCTGTAGCGCTCAGCACACAGTCTGTCACATGCCAGTTTATTAAATGTTTTGTTTTTTTCCACCTTTATAACCCTTTGTATGAACTTCATTAGATTAGCTTTAACTTTATCTTAAAACAGCAACAATGCGATGAAAAATGAAAATTGCAACATTTGATCATATAACTGTGTGGCATTTATTCTAAGTAGCCTAAATAATGAGATGAAATGCATTTTGGGAAATGTAGGATTTAGTTGTCGTTTTTTTTGTTTTTTTTTAGCTTTCCCCTGTCTCTGATCTGAAATATTAGATATCATGGACTCTTATGCTTCTATTTGGACCACAATCCTAACATTTTTTTTAATCTGTTTTCAATCTTTCAATTGCATTAAAGAGTCAATTAAAGTTCTCCAGATTTACCCTTTAAGTATCCAGGTCATCAACAAATAAGCTATCACCCATTAAATTTGTTAATGCTCAAACCTGCAGTGAGTTTTTTTTTGTAAATGTCAGTCGTAGCCTATATGTTAAATAGTTTTTGGTGACCAGGGTTGTTTTTTGAGTGGTATAGCATGCGCCCCAACAATCAGATTGGCCCCCCTAGGTGCCATTATCCATAGACTTGCCAACTGCTCAGTCTTATGCAGGACTGATGTTCAAAACAACATTAGCTTTTGTGGTATTTATTGTAACAGTGGCTTATGGAGATCTCTTTCAGTCTTAAGGATAAAGCATGGGAAGTCTGTCTTCTGCCACTTTATTTAATTTAAATTAAACATCTTAGTGTCAGGAGTGTAAGATCTGTATGAAACCTCAATGTCAGTTATTTAAGTGGATATGAGTATGCCTCTCAGAAATGTCTGCTACAAGTAGGCTTCTTCATACTAACCTTGCATAAGTCACATCCCCATTTGGGCCACTCTGTCCAAAAAATCTAGAGCCACTTCTTTTGTTCTGGACTGAAGGATTTTGTTTACTTTGGCTATAAATGACTTAGGGAATAACAGACAGGCCACTATAGATAGATAGATAGATAGATAGATAGATAGATAGATACTTTATTGATCCCGAGGGAAATTCAAAACATCCAGTAGCAGGTTACAAAGACGTACATGACATGAAACATTTGTTACAAGTTAAACCACAAAACCGACACCTCCCCCTCCCATACATATATCTTAACCTCCCCAAAAGATGTAAAGAATACCCCTAGATGCAATTAAAAATAGACTTATACAAGAAATGTACATAACCCGTGCAGGGATAAAAAATATATTTGAAATTTAAACAAGAAACTATAAACAGTTGAGGAAAAAGCTCTGTAATTAGACCTGAATATACATTTTTAAAAAAGTGTTGACCTTCTGAAGTTGTGCTATATTGCATTTAAATCATAGACTGTAAATATGATCAATGTTCAATGTTCATCAATTTGGTGAACACTACTGAGCTGAATGCAAATGAAACTGTAGGCCTAAATACCGGTACATTGTTCAAAGCCTATGACTGCAGATTCGAGATGAAGGCTTAACAAAACCACTAATTCTGTTCCTTCTGGACAAAGATACTTTTAATTTTTAATTTAGCCTAATTATTTACTGTGCTCAGAAATGATTGCTCTCTGGTGTTAGTCCTTCACTTGATCAGCTACAGTCATCTGGCAGCAGGTTTTTATGAACGCAGCACTGCACTGCTTGAGAGGTGGAAAAAAACCGAGTTTATAAAAGGGGAGGAGCGCACGGCATCATCATCACAAGCATGACTGAGAGGAGGAGAGGACAGAGAGACTTTACTGACCTCCTGCACCGGCGCTTTATCCATCCAAGCGTCGTTTAGCAGTCAGTGGTGGACCGCTGAGGGAGTCTATTTTACCGTCTTAATCTACCCGTTAGCGCCGGGCTCCACGGGTTGCTCCGGAGCTGCTTCCTTTAGCACAATAAAGCTAACCACTGCTAGCTCCTGGCTTCAGTCACTGCCCGGACCCGGCGAAGTAAAGAACCTAGCAGGGGAATGGCAATATACTCGGATAACCCTTTCAGAAGAAACAGCCACTGAGATTAGGAAAGGAGCCCTGAAATATTTCATACTTTGATCAACGGTAAGCAAAAAAAAAAATCAAAAAATGTATGTTAAGTTAACAGCGTTTTGTAAAGTTAGCGCTAGCTTGCTGGCTAATCACAGTTAGCCAGTTATGTTGTCGTGTAACATTGAGAACAACGTTAAGAAGTCAGCGTGTCAAATGTTGAAGATACACTTAATTTTGTGTGTGTGTGTGTGTGTGTGTGTGTGTGTGTGTGTGTGTGTGTGTGTGTGTGTGTGTGTGTGTGTGTGTGTGTGTGTGTGTGTGTGTGTGTGTGTGTGTGTGTGTGTGTGTGTGTGTGTGTGTGTGTGTGTGTGTGTGTGTGTGTGTGTGTGTGTGTGTGTGTGAATAAATACATGTAAAAATATATAAATAGCCTTTTCATTAACAAAGTGTATTTATTCATTGATGTATTGTTTTCAGCATTTATATATTTATTGATGCATTTATTTAATCATTTATTTATTTATACATTATTGTATGCATTCCTCCCAACATTTATTTATTTATACTTCAGTCATTTTTTGTCCCTCTTTGCTCAGAGCTAAATGTTCGAAGACCAAAATTACTGACAAGAAAGAAAACATTCACAACATAGGAAATACTTTCACATCGCAAAAATGAAAGCGTTAGTAAAAGTACATTAAAACAAAAATAGTACTAAACATGTAAAGTGGTGTGTTTTAGACTGTTCCCTAAAGTCTCGTAAGTAAAGTAATTATCTAATTTTGACTTATCTCTTAAGTTGTTTACAGATCCTGAAGCATGACGGTAATTATATATAGTAGTAGCAGTGCTTGGTGTGTTGTTTAGAGAAGCATACTGTGACGACCTGTTTAGTATGATGTCTGTCTTCTTAGCCCGTTTAAATTTAGTCTGCCCTCCTTGATCCCTCTGTGAGCAGTAGTGCTGGGATGTTAGCTCACTTGTCACTCCCTTCCTTGCAGCCAAATTCCCATTACTGCATAGCAGGAGTTACAGGCATGTATGAGCATGCTAAAAAATCAAGTCTGTGTGTGTCTGTGCGCAGAACATGAAGTTCAAGATACACTCTGCACTCCTTTCAGATTGTTTGGAGTAAGCATAGTTCTCATCTTTGCAGCACATCACGGGATGAAATATGACAAAAGTTCATGGTTAAAGTGACTAAAAGATTCCTTTAATGTCTTTAAAGATTCCAAACTCCATTGGATCTGCAGAGTCCCTCTGCACCTTTAAGAAAAAGCTAAAGACCCAGCTCTTTCATGAATACCTACTAACTTAATGATGATGGTCTCCATATTATTGATGATGATGATGGTAATGACGATGGTTTTTGTTTGATAACGATGACTTATAAGATGGTTTCTATACTGATTAGAGCTCTCAAGAACTGCCCTCAATGTTGTGCTTTGCCTCTGGTAACTTCCTGTCAGCACTTGTGTGTCCAATCAGACTCAAAGCTGATCATTTGCTCTTACTGACATTGTTCCCTTTTTTCTAGATCCTTGCTTTACTCTCTGATGTGAATTGTAGAATTAATGAAAATGTGTTTTACATTATCCCTAGCCTCTACAACAACGTTCCTGAATGTGAAATTAGCTGTTTACATGAGGAAGAATTATGTAGGAATGTACCTGCCCATTTTTTATTTGTTATGTGCTGTAAAGTGTAGTTGTGACTTGAATTTTGTAGAGACAATCAATAGTACATAGCTCATTCATATCTCTGATAGTTTGCAGTTGAAGTCATTGCAGTGGTAAAGCCTCTGTTTGACAAATGAGCGGGAAATGCTGCATCCATTGATCAATGAGCTCCCCAGTCACGGCTCAGGAGAATTCTCTTCTGCAGCCCATCACTGTACTCATTTTTCTAGTTTGCATGGCTGCTTGCCAACATACAAACACATACACACTCTCCCACAAGGTCATGGCATGATTTAAGCAGTCAGACAAAACACATCTTTAGCATTCTATAGTTCTACACTTTAATTTAGCAGATGCTTTTATCCAAAGGGAGGTGCATCTGTGATTAAACAACATAAGCAAGGCTCTAGAAATAAAAATAAAAACAGGTGCTGACAGGCTGTGCACAGAGGCAATCTGTTTATGGCACAGTTATAGTTATAAAATCATCATTATCAACAGTAGCATCAGTATCGCTAAGTGCTTAGGTGTTCATGAAAGAGCTTGATTTTTACTTAGACAGAGGTTCCAGTTATATAGCCACATGTAGTAATGTTTACATTTTGGGACTCAGTTCATGTTTTCAAGAGTAAATAAAATGCACGGCCACATCTTTGACCTCAGATTGCACATCTTTGTTTTATCTCATCCTTTTTTTTTTTCGTTCAGGTTGTTGGTGTTACTGTAATCCCCATCATGGTGCAGAAGTACCAGTCACCTGTGCGGGTGTACAAGTATCCCTTTGAGCTTGTGATGGCGGTAAGTGTCTCTTCCTGTACTCACAGTCAGTCCTCTGTCTACATGAATATTACATGTCATAGAGGCACAGTTATGTCATACTATCATTTGGGTCACCCTCAGAAAGTAGTAATTTAATTGCACACCTTGCATGTGATTGGTTCACACACTCACAACTGTTTCTGAAGGCAGTTCACCTTCCCACAACCTAATATCACTATTCTAACTTACATATAGTTTGAGTTGTTTGTTTTTCTAAGTGCACTGACAGTGCTGTCTTGGCGATCTGCCAGATGTATAGAAACACGACTATAAGCATGGGGGATGAGCCATGACAACTTAAACATATAGAAATGTTCTATGTAACAGTGTGTAACAAAGTAAACACTATATGTCTGACTAAAGGAAATGACCTGGAGATTTTTTCAGTTTCTTTCTTTTTGAAGAAAAACTTACAAACAAACGAAAACACAGAAAACAGACCAGTGAGGAACTTCATGGGGAAAACCAGTGCAAATAAAGAATTTATACCCCTGCAACGCACACAATACTCTTTGGCTGTCCACATTAATTTTGTTTGAAAACATAAATACTTTGCTCCTTTTCTGGCTGCTATCCAGACTATTACAGCCTTCTAAAGTCTCTAAAGAAGACATTTGGAAGACAACTGACCTTTTTTTAATTTGAAAACAGAAACTGATACGCTTTGAAATAATGAAGCAGGTACCCACATTCTCTTGCTGATTGAGTCTTAGTCACTATTTCCCCTTACCTCTTTGTTATGGATGTGTCACATGGTTCATATTTTCAGGAGAGAACAAAAATACCCAGCTTCACTTTAATTTCTTACCTAAACGTAGATGACTAATTGAAGGCACCCACTGAAATGGTTCATGCTAGCTGCTGTTCTTTTATTTTTCCATTTAGCATTACGTACTGTACCGCCATGCTTACACAGAAGAAAAGCTATTTTTCAAGCGATTACCAGGTCAAGCTTTGTAGTCAGCCCTAAATGGATTGCCAATGTTTTCAGTAAAAGAACCGTCCAATTTGTGTGTGCCTGTTCAGACAAGAATACAGATGCTCGGAGTACAATAATGGTCTTATGATTTGTGTTTTAGATGTGTTAGTTTGCACGGAGATTAGTTGTGTAATTGCACATAAATGCTTGTCTGGACTTGGATCATTTTGGTTTTAAAACCTAATTATAAAATGAAAACTTGTGGATGGATGTAACCTTCTTATAGATGGGCTACTAAAAATAATTTGTCCATATTGCTTTGCTGTCTGCTAATGGTTTTTAGACCTGTTCATTTTACACCCAGTTGTTGAGCTGTAGAACTGCACACTCAAAATCTAGATGTACAACATGACTGTGCTGTTATGTCACACATTTGTTAAACTGCACACTCTGCAGCAGTAGTCCATTTGAGGTGTGAAAGATTCAGTGCCTTGCATTGCTTTTAGTGACTACATTTCTGCATGTATTCTTTCACCTCACCGCCTGCAGTACAGAAAGTGTCTGTAGAAATGCATGTCCATTACTTTAATTCTGCTTTTTTAAATGCCTTCCTACCTGTATTCTTCTTTTTTTAGTGAATTTCTTTTTCCATGTGTTGCATGTTTGGCATGCAAAACTGCTCAGTCAGTCTTTACCTTAGTGCTATAGAATAATGCTGAAGCCACCAAATTATAGATGCACCAATCCAATGTTTGAGGTCCGATACCGATCGGATACTTGGGTTAACGTATAGGTACCTGCTGATACAGATTCGGCCCGATACCAGTTTTAAAATAAAAACCTCACTGTGAGGATGAGAGGTTTTCCCAACTTTGTAAAACAACTTTAAATAAATAAATACATACAGACTAGATTACTGCCACAATCTGACTCACAGTGAACCCTGGTTGAGCTGCATCATGTGTGCAAAGCAGCGGAAGCTGTGCACTCCTTTTGTTGTTCATGGCCTTTTCATGTTGTTAGCATTGTCTCTTAGAATGTCATGCATGTTAGTAAACTGATAAAGTGTTTCTACAATGTTGCGTAACATAATGGCTCTAGGTATCTGCAGTGAAGTTTTTAGCTTGTACATACATTAACTCTGCAGATAAGTGTTCCCTACATTCTTGAAGAAGCCAGACAGAAGGCATTGAGAAATGAAGTACGTAATTGCAAACTGCACCGCGGTCCCAACTGTTCATCACCGGTGACGTTACAACAGGAAGTTTCCTGCGTCTTTGCAATGATACCCTATCTAGGTATTTAAGCCACGATTGGACAGATGTCCGATACCAGGATTGGATCGATGCATCACTACACCAAATAGAAAACACTGTTTGAGACCCTGCAGTATCTCCTTACTCAATCTATTTATGACAAAACTGTTTCAGTATGACAATAAACAAATACATTTTCAATTCTTTTCACACCTCTGAATAAAAGTGAACACATCTTAACAATCATATATATTTTAATCACAAAATGATTGCATTTTGGCTGGATCATTATCATCATCATGTTTACAGTTGTGCATTTACATCATTTTACTAAAACAGCCTTAGCCTTGTTAAACAACCACGCACCATTTCAACAGTAAATTATGTTCTATGGGGTTGTTCTGATTATAACAGCAGTGTATGACTCTTCCTGCTTTCTGTGCAGTTAAAATGAGTCCAGGGTGAGTTCCTTTTAACAGCCTGTCGTGGGTTCAGAGCACAACAAGTTACAGACGGGCTGTTTTCTTTAAATGGAAATCAGCTTTTACTCCGGCGAGAAAGAGGATGCAGCAAGAGTAAATCTTCTTAGCACTGGCTGGATTGAGCGCTGGGGGAACAGATTGCTATAAATAGGGGGCTGGTATATCTGGGTCTGCACATGCAGCAGAAGCAGGAAAAAAGGGATCGCAACATAGCAAACTCAATATCATTTATAAGCTGAAGCTGACCCACCTTTTAGAGATGGCACAAGCCGACTTCACTGCATGTTTTTAAACTATCCAACCAACTGATAAGGCTCGTTCTAAAGGTTTGATGCAACAAAAAAGCATTGTGTTTTATAAGTTAAATCAGAAGCAATGTGGTAATTATTTGTATTTAAGCTTTGAGTCATAAATTAACTAGACTGTTAATTTGACTCAATTTGATGCTCAGTAAATTGCAATTGAATTATTTTCCCCTCTTGTGACTTTCCTCTACAGAGAGAATTCTTGCAGACACTGCAGAGCAGACTTAATGGTGCGTCACAACACTTGCTAGCTCTCTTTATTGAAAACTCAGTGAAATCTCTCCCTTTTACTTCCTATAGCCGTTCTGCCACTGCAGCAAAGGATTGTAACATAATAGAACTTTGATAGTTTCTCACAAATGCAGTAGGTTGTTAAACAGGAATCAACTACTTTGTGTGAAGATCATTCCATCTTTCATCTTGTGGAAAGTGTACATATTGCCGGCAGATGTATAGGCTAAGAACATCATGACAAATTACTAAAGGCTTTGTTTGACCTTGTTATTCCTCCCGGGTGTTCTGTGTTAAGCATCTTAAGTATTAGCCAGTAATGGCTTCTCCTTTTCCTCTGAAGGGGAATTATATTTGACATTTTGCTTTAAGGAATTTAGTGAACTCTCTCCGCTTAACACTTTTGTTTGGATACTGTCAGGTCTTTCAAATACCCATCAACTCTACTGAGGATAAAAACCAAGGCTCAACATTCCTCCGTTCTTCAAATGCATTCTTTTAGTCTCAGTGAGATAAAGCCTGTCTTCACATGGCCTCGAGAAGCCACTCGACAGGCCCACTGACAGGTGCTATCAAAGTATTCCAACCTTTGCCTAACACCACTGTGACTTAAATCAACTGTTGCATAAACCAGACTTGGATCTCAGATGTCCCTCAGCTGTTTTCGTTCTTCATTGGTAACCATACCCTGCTCTGAACGTATACTCAGTATTCCCAGTTGTGACAGCCGTTTGGCAGATTCAATGCATGATCCCTCCATGGTAGTTTAAAATCCTGTATGATTTTGTGATCTGTATTTTTTACTGCACAATTCTGAACTTCTTTCTCTAAAGACAATTGACTGATATGGCTTTGACTTAAACGGTTCCACAATCTGGACACAAAAGCAAGAAAATAAACAAAAAGGAAAAATGGCAGCACCAGGGTCACCCCATGAATTTGACATTCAAAAAAGCCGGGTGAAAGGATCATGTTTTGAATTGCATTTTGTCAGAATCTCTGTACTGATATGTTAGGTTTCATTATTGTACACAGAGCAGCACAGGAGCAAAACCATAGCAGACACTGGTCACTTTTACCACTCAAGTTTTTTAAAAACCCTTCAGAGATGATTGTACCTTTAACCACAAAGGTCTTCTTCTCTGAAAAATAAACTGATGCAGTTGTTAAAGTAGGGCAAAACACTGGATTTGGCTGGTTCATGTTTGTAATAAAGGTTTCTCCAATGCTATTTGGCAGCCTCAGTGCATCAGAAGGATCTATGAGCTGAGCTGCAAACAGCTTGTTTATAGGTCATTGGCTTGTTCTAAGGTTTGGAGACCTGAGTCCTTCATTATTTAAAAGGTTTTTAATAAAGATGATTTACCTGCAATGGCCTCCTCTTCTCCCAAACAAGCAGACCGGTCGTTAGAATAGAGCAGCTTCATGCTAACAATCAGATTTCTCTAAGGCTTTGGGGGCTGCTAGCTGAACCGCTGCTAACCTTACCTCACTAGCTTACCAATTCCTCTATCTGCTAAAACTTGCAGTAAAATAACAGTCAGTAGATTTGGAAGACTTTATCATTTGTGTCTGTCTGATAAAGCACGAGACTCAGAGTGTTTGGGGAGTTTGGTGAAGCACAGAGTAATAGTAAACGAAACAATGAGTCAAGCATTCATATTAAACAAGTGAATTGTATTTGACTCATAAATTCCACAGCTCCAGTGAGCACTCATTCTACTGGTAGGTGTTGCTTTTCTTGTTTTGATTTCGGCTTGTGAAGTAGATGGCAACAGTGATCAAA